AAAAAGAGACTAGCTTCATTTCACCTTTGTTTGGAAAAATGTCTGCTGAGTCAACAAAAGGGGAGATTCAGGAAAATAAATAAATAGATCGAGATGGTTGTAGAAATTACCATTGCCGTGCTATGGCCAGGTCCAGTCTGTCCAGTGCCTTGTTGTGACAAGACTTGTGGTTACAGACTCCTCTGATCCAGGTGCTGCTCCTGACCCTACCAGCATCTCCTCAGTGACTCCAAATGCTTCTTTTACAAGTCCCACCACCAAAAGTTACAGTCCCCAAAACAGTGATTCTTATAGATCCTTTCTGCCTTGATTATAAGATAAATTCTTTAGATATAAGGACTGTTTATGTGTGTGTAAATATACTTGCATCAATATGTACAGCACCTGGCAAAATAAAACCTTGGTTGAAAAGTGCGGCTGGTGGATCTTTTCATTACTGTAATGCAGATAGCCACAAAAAAGAGGAATAGTCATGTGGGCTAAAACACAGGAAGTTTTTGAACACAGTAATATTTCCAGAAATGTCAGAAAATCATTGCCCCATGGACCATAACAAGTCAGCTTTGGCATGAGTTTTCATGCACCACATTGGTTACTATTTGAATATCCTATTCCCACTTGTAGCCTCTCCGAGTCAGATTTTACTATTCCTCCTGTCCTTTGATCTCACCTCCTGAAGTCTTTTTCTCTGTTATGTTATTGTAGGGCAGTATTCATTTATATATAAATATATTTAAGAAGTAATTGATTTGGAACATTCTTCAAAGAGCCTTTGAGTACCCCTTGAAAGCTCAAAAGGATGCTTAGTTTACATGTTATCTTAGGCAAATTCACCTAAGGTTTAGGCTGGCCTGAGGTAGGACCTTGGTGAAATTCTGTGAGGTTGTATCATAGCTATTAAAGAAATCATCACTCTTGAAATTTTACCTCCCAAAATGAAGAAGCAGCAACAGGACAGTGTGTAAAAACCCCTTCCACTGAGAAAATGAAATCTGTGCAAAAAGAAAGCTACCTTTGCCTTATAAATATGTGCAATATGTGGCTTCAACTAAGCGATGAAGGTATTTCCAAGGGAGATTAGAGAGAACCTGCAACCTCAGCCCATGCAGAGCAGAGCAGCTAAAGGGTCCGGTTCAGCCCACCAGCAATGTCAGCCAATGCTAGCACACACTGAAGAGGGTGAGTATTGTTGAGAACTGGTTGTTACGCATATCTCTACAATCCCAGCTCAGGGATTTTCTCAGTTCATCTGAGCTGTACACCAAGCACAGCATTTATCTTGCATCTACATATCATCATCTCGTGCCCCCACCTTGCTGTGAATGGGGAAGAGCTATTATCCATCTGTCCCGGTTGGGGAAGTGAAACATAGAGAGTGACACTTCTGAAAACTATTAATAGAGTGAAACCTAAGGAGACCAGGTATGCAAATACCTCAAAACCTAGCTCTTCATAATTCACCTCTAGCAAAAATAGTGACAAGATTACAGAAGCAAAACTGGGCCAGCACTCTTCATAATTATACAGTGCTTTTTGTGGGATTCAGCTGAAATATCAAGGGCTGTCTGTGGAAACTATGAACTTCTAAACATCTGAATCTGAAATAAGAGGAAGCCAGGGACTGTGGAAAGCCTGCTAAATAAGTGTAAATCACACTCACCCTGCCCTTGGTAACAGCCAGAACAAGTCCTTATCGCCGTGCAAGTGTTCGCATCAAAGTTCCTGAAAGCTGTGTTGGAGATGAATAGCTGGTATCTTTTGGGTGTTTTTAGTCCTGCTGACATACAAGTACTATCCTGCAATGAAGAAATGAAGAGCGCTGGGAAACATATCACCATGTGAATCTCCAAGCCTAATGGATGCAGCAGCTGGGATGCAGCAGCTGGGACACAAGGATGTGATTGCACTCTAGCCCATGGTTGTGGGGCTGTTTGAAGGACAGATCTAAGCTATTACTTTTCAAATTCTGACAAGTAACATCCGTTTAATTCACCATTTGCAGTATGTGATAGTATTACATTCAGGGCAGTGATTGCCTTGTTTGCTTTGTCTGGGTTGTTGCACAGTAGTTAAGGTTGGTCATTTGAAGGGAAAGGAAATTGTACATTCCCTGGGAAGAAAGAATCCACCTGGAAGGCACAGTGAGCAGATTTGTTTACAGTCCCTTTTACTTTACCTTGTCTTGTCCAGCAGGCAGGAAAATTTCCCTACTCTACAAAGCTAATCATTCTAATTTCTGTTCTGAGAAAAACCTGACTGCTGAGATTCAAAGCCCTTTTGTGTGATTGGGGACAGGGGGAAGCATTTAAGCTAGGCTCTCTTCAAAGCTCTAGTTAACTTCAGGGTCCATCAGAGCAACAAGAAGTGGAAAGGAAGAGCAAAAACCACAAGCGATGGGAAATACGATGGACAAACTGGATTTTGTGGTGATTGTAGGCCATGACACAGGGGAAGTGTACTTCTCTGCCAATTGATCTCAGAGACTGGCTGGGAAGAAGGATGTACTCAGAGCTAGTGGGTAGCCTGAAGGAGGAAGGGCTGACAGGAATGTGTGGTGCTGTTTCTGAGGCTAATAAACACTTTTGTAGAACAACTCTCAAAAGCCGAGGTATAGAACCAATCGAGAAATCCACCCTCTGTGAAAACATCGTCTTTAAATGAAAATGCAGAATGAAATGGACTTTTATAAATAGGTTATTACTTCAAAGAGATGGCGTTATCTTCAGTCTCATTAAGAGAGAGTAGCTCCATCACCTTTTTTACTCTGAGGCCAAACATCTAAGGTGATGGTCCTGGTCCTTGGGCCATCTTCTTCCAAGTCACTGCTAAGCAGAAATCCCTGCCTTCTGGTAACAAATCAGTCAGAAAAACTCTATTGTTTTTTTGCTTACACTTGCCTGTTCTTCCATCCTACCCACCCTTCTATCCTTCTTTTTTTTTTTTTAGTTAATTTATTTTATTTAAAGAAATAGCAAATAGAAGAAGGGTGTGAGATGACAATTCCTCCCTAGTGTGTGTCACCTGTCCCAGACCTTCTGCTTTTTCAGGAAGAATTGTTTCTCCTCAAATGGCTCCACAAGGACAATCAGTTGCTTTGTGAAAGCGTGGAAGAGGCTTGCTGAATGTCTAGGAAGCTAACAAAAGTCTTTCCCTTGGCTTTTACGGGCCCTGGGTTTAGCCCTGCCGCTAATGTTTTAATTGATCAAAGCCCCAATTTTCAAATGCCCTGATATTTCCAGAAAACAATCTTGTTTTAAAGCACTTCTTTCAAAAACTGGAAGGGCTAGCAGAGAGGAATATCCAAGGATCCCATTAAATTAATGTCATAAAGTTTTAATTGATATTAAAGAGACCTCATTATTAAAGGAAGAATTACATAAATTAAGATGTAAATTATGACAAGGAGGCTCTTATCATGAGATAATCAAAGATAATCACCCCCCTGGGGTACTGCAAGAAACAAGGCACAGCTGAGCGCCTCTAAATCTCTGAACAAGTACAACATTGGAGTCCTTCCATGGATCCTGCAAAGTAAAAACAAAGACATCCACCCTTTGGTGTCTGAGAGAAATTCATTGCGCCATTGGGATGCTGCAAGGTCGGACTGGTGAAGCCAGGATTTTATCTGAGCTACGTACTTTCAATAGATGTACTACAGAGGTTTCTTTCTGTGAGCGTCTAAAGAAAACTCATTTAAAACTCTTTTTTTCTGCCAGTCAGAGAGAAAATTAATTTCACAAACAACAACAGAAAACTGAGCAGTGCAAAAAGAACTCAAAATCTTGAACAAGAAGCTGTGGCCAGTTGTAACTAAAATTCCATTGTTATCCATGTTATTAATCTGTTAACAACAAGATAGCACCCAAAGGACTTTGTCCAGCTGCCTAAAGAAATAATGGAAGAAGATCTTATTTACTGCATAAATAAAAATGTTACATTTTGACAGCATTTTTCATTCTCAAGTGAAAAAGTCGTGCTCTGTGTTCCAGGTGGACTAATGATGCTATGAGAGAGCAGAGGAAACCAAAGTGTTAACTAGGATAGAAATTAAATCTGTTGTTCCCACTCATTATTCTCAAATCACTAAACTAAACCCAGTTGTGTATGGCTGGATGGTGTCTGTTTATTACAGCAAAAGGTATGTAGGAATTTGTGTCAGAAAAGTGTGTTTAAACAAAAATTAGGATTTCTCTCAAAAATTCAGATTCTGTGAAATTCCAAGGTTTTTCTGAGGCCATCTCAACCTTGGAAAAAACCACAAGTAGGGAAAAAAATAACACTTATCTTACTAAAATCCTTCAGCTCATAAGGTGAACAGAAGTGTGATTTTAGTTTTACTTTTGAATGTTGTTTTATAAAGAATATACATTAATATAGATTATAATATAAAATCTTTTAGTAGTTCCAAGTTCAAATAGAAAAATCAATGTCCTTGTTTCAAATTTGTTTAAAAAAGTCTTCAAAACTTCCATACTAGAATAAAAAGACCTTTGGAAAAAATGCTGAATTTTCCTGTAGAGTGCAATATCTGGTTTCTCCATAGCTGATATTTATTCATCTTTACCATCAGCTGGTTTGAATGGAGCGCCTGAAAAATGATTCAGTATCCAGCTACCAAATGCTATTTCTTTTCTGCTGCTGCCAGCAGAAGAAACAAAATCCTTGGTTCCAGTAAGTTGGGAGAACGGTACTGATGGTACAAGTTTCTCTGCTTCACCACCAAATCAATGTTCCTTGCAGGTGCTGCTGCTGAAGGCACCATCTTTCCAAGGAGGGGAAGACAGCTAGAGGACTAAGCAAACAAATCAGTGCCCAAAACCGATCCTGAAGCTGGGCTGAAGTATTTATCTTAACATACAATCTATTTAAAATCCAAGTTTTACCCAAGCTGCCATGGAGCAGGGGCTGTTTTCAGGTTGCTTTCTTATTTCTCCAAATTCCTGTTTGAAAGGTTTCTGTGCAACTCAAGGGAACATTGAAATAATTCCTGCAGTGCTTACCTTTTGCCCATTGTGTCCAATTAAAATGCTATCAGCTACAGAAGTGTTTCCCAGGCTTTCTACAATGTCAATGCCAAAGTCTTTGCAAGCATAAATCCAGAAATGTTGGAGTTCAAGGTTGCTGCTACTAAAAATCTATATAAAAGCATAATAAAGGAATAATAATTTTTGTAAAAAAAATGTAATTTATAACTCTGCTTTACTTACAATACAGTAGACAGGGGAAGTGCAAAACCACCTAAAAGTGTTGAATGTGTATTTAGTATTTGAGCGTCTCCCCTTAATTTCTTATTTCTGCTTTTAATTACAAGTACAAAAATCTTTACATTCTGCCAACTTATTTTCATGTTAAACAGAAAAAGAACAGTATGAAAGAAAATCGGAACTGAGAATCAGTAATAGGGTAAAAGTGCACTAAATATTTTGGGGTTTATTACTGAAAAGAATAGCAGGGTAAAGAAGTTAATGTTTGTAGCAGAAAGATGCCTTGAAAATAACCAGAGGTATTGCTTACAGTCACCTAACAGCAAGAAGGCTGTTCCTAGAGGGAGCCCATGGAAAGAAGCAGAATAAATTTAGTTACTCATGTATGCTAGGTCAGTAACACAAAGAAATTCCAAGTTAGGCAGAGAAAACCACAAAAACAAAACTGCAAATCATCCTTTTGTTTCGTTTTCGTACAAATAAGCTTTTCCAGAAAGAGAATGCACCAGTCTGAAAAAAAAGTACTGAAAAATTGGACACCTTCAAAGGAAAAGCCATAGGATGGGTTAGACTAGAAAACATGCCTTACAGAGAAACACGTACAATCCGTTCAGGTCATGAGACGGGGGTAAGAGGATCACAGCCTCTAAGCACCGGTATGGGAAGAAAGGGGCAGATAATAAAGGGTGGTGTGGGGTTTTTAATCAGATTAAGTAATAGTGAGCTACAATAGCTGAAAAGTGAAGCTAGACAAATTCAAACAAAAAAAAAAAAAGTGCACATTTTTAACAAGGATGAAAAAACTCCCATGGAAACTCTTAACCCTATGAAGGTAACAGATCCTCTACCAACTGCAATCCTTATGAATAGCTCAGATCCGCTGGGAGGATTTTTTTGGCTGCATGATCTAGTGGAAGGTATCCTTGCCCATGGCAGGGGGTTGGAACTAGGTGATCTTTAAGGTCTCTTCCAACCCAAACCATTCTATGGTTCTGTGCTTCTATGATTATAGTAGCAGGCAGATGCTAGAGGATTACAGAGGACACCAGCTATTGACAAAATGGCACTGTTTCTACACTGAAGCGGTAAGAAGAGCTCACACGAATTGTGTTTCTGGCTTTATCACCAAAATAGGAGCCTCCAGCTGAGGGACATGGACATACAGGTACAACAGCTTTACCGTAACTGTGGCCTATTTGCAACCATAAAAGCTGAAGTCAGTGTAGAGGCGATATACATGTAAGGATCCTGAGCATCAGAGGACAGTCAGGACAAATGTACCTGTGCTCCACCTTGGCTGCTCCAAGCTGTGAAGTTGTTGAACTGAACAGGTCTGTTTGGGCTGGCTGGTAAATATTCTGGGTACACCAACAACCCATACCTGTTTAGCAAAGAAAGCAAAGGAGACTGTTTCTCTACAGTGCAGGTATTCATGAGCAGATTTTCCTATTCATCATTTTGATATCTAGAATCTTAAATCTGTAACAGTTCTCTGCATGAGACTTTATCATTTAATCCAAAACCAAAACTGGTGGATAGCAATATTTATTTTGGGCATCTCATCATCCCAGAGAGCATACTTAAAATTTCTTTTCACGTATTTTCAGAATTGGCCACATCAGCGTTAACTACCAGTGTGCAGTACCACTGACAGGTGTTTACTTCAAAATATCCCCACCATGCTCGTGAGCTTTCAACCAGCATCACCTTCAGATAAGCCTGACATGAATCTGGACAGATAAGGCTTTTCTATAGCTTGGATTCAGCCAACTGGGAGTACATTCCAGATGTATGCATTCCTGAATGCAGGCCTTGGTTTGACCTTCTCAGAGATTTTAAATCCAGATTAATATCGAGAATTTCCTCAAAATTCATAGAATCATAGAATCATTTAGGTTGGAAAAGACCTTTAAGATCATCCAGTCCAACCATTAACCTACACTACCCAGTCTACTCTAAGCCAATCAAGGGTAGACTAGACTAAACCATGTCCCAAAATGCCACATCTACCCTTTTTTTGAACACAAATTCAGGTGGCTCTGTCCACTGACTTTTAGTACAATGCCATTTTTTACTATCATTTCTGTTTTAGGGAAGTACAGGCAAAAGCTCTAGTGAATAGCCATTCCTGGACACTACAGGAACAACTGTCATATGTAAAGTCTGATATACATACAGCACCTTTTATCCTGTTGGACTGCAAAGTGATTAGTCTCTTCAATCTACTTAATCAGAGACCAAATTCTAATACCAGTATTCATGCTGCTATGATATAAAGCATCTGGAGGTAAGAAATGCCACTCCAGGTTGTATAAACCAGTGTCAAGTCTATAATGGTGGCCTGCAGGAGAACTTAGAGTGTAAGAAAGAAATCATGTATATGCTCTCCTGCATGCCACCCTATTCTGCTCAAAACGCCTGGTATACTTTAAAATGAGCTTTCAATTCAACAGATGAGCACACACTTCAGTGCTTTGCTGTTAAATGGTTGATGAGGAAATGTGTTAAATGCGGCACCTTAAACTACATCAGGATCATTTAAACAAGGGGTAAAGTAGAGGAGCCTTGTTAACAGCACTGGGAAATGCTGCACATTAACAAATTGAGCTTGTGAACAAAAACAAAAGGACTGTATTCAAAATACTAAGGAAACTATTCACAATCAGGCCCTGAAATACAGCCCCCACCACATCGCTGTCAAACACTGATTCTGCTCTGCTGTGGAGAACTTTGCTTACAAGACAGGAAGCCCTAAAAGGGTGCAAAATCGGCAAAAAAAAAATTCCTGAAAGGAGGGGTAAACATTTTCTGCTCACCAGTGCAATTAGAGTTAGCACTACCACACACTGAAGGAAAATCTCTTTAACCAAAAATCGCCAAGTACCTTGTGCAGGAATGAGCTACGTTCTCACTGAAGGAAAGGAGAGGCATTTTGGATGGTCCCTCAGGGGAGAGATGAAAGAAATAGCCATACCCAGCAGCACACACCGTGTTACCCTGCAGAGAAGCATATATGACTGTGAAAAAAGATTACCACAGATTTCTGGAAATTAAAATAAACTTAAGGAAAACCCAAATTAAAACCCAACTGAGGTCCATTCAAATTCTGGTAAGTCTGGCTGGCAGAAGCTGGTACCTTGTTTCTGTGTCCTCAATCTCATCCTGTTTTCCCTCTGTCCTTGGGCCAGTCTTAAAAAAACTTGTTCTCAAGCCAGGCAACAAGGGTTGGCCAAGCAATAGAAACAACTGACAGAAAAATGGTATTGCCATAATTCTTCAAGAAATAGGTAAGAAGTGTGTGGAAAAATTCTTACCCGTATAAAATCCTTTCTAAGTAGGGAAGTGATGTCATGAAGGAATGGTAAATCACAAACTATTCAGTTAATTGATTTACTTTTCAATCTGTATCTTTCTCATATCTCCCAAAGCAAATAAAGCAAAAAGAAACAACATTGGCACGAAAAAGTGAGACCCCGTAAAAGTCAAGAGAAAGGAGAGAACTACATGTTCAGGATATGTCAGTGGCTGAACAACTAAACTTGCTCAGACCTGTGGTAAATTATTTGTTTTGGATTCTTTTTAACAGGATAAGTGAGTAACCATGGGAAGATGTGCTCTAAGTTATTGTAACTTAATATTTCTTAATGAAGAAATTCTGGAGTTGCATTTTTTGTATTATTGCAAGAGATTAAAAATAAGTGAACATAAGGTTTGCCCGGTCTAAAATTAGGAGTTTGGTACTTACAGAGTCTGTAGCAAGAGGGTTAAATACAGTAGGTTAGGAGCTTTTCCACTCTAGGGGAAAAAACCTGCTCTTCCCTGCTTCATTTGGACAGCAGCCAAACCTAGATGGTTTTGGATGGTGTCCACACAGCGATGTTTTCATGTGCACATCTGGGCATGATCCCTCTCACCTATCTTAGATGTGGAAAAATTTGATGCTGAAGTCCAGGCTGGTAAACCTAGGCTCCCTTTCCAGGAAAAAATAAGGCATAGGCATGTCCAGAGGGCAATTCTTCTGGTCTATCCTTAGATAAGATTAATTGCTCTCTGGAGGTATCTAGTTCTCTAAGGGGAGTCTAAGATGAGCTTTCTTGCAGCTATAAGAAGAGCTTGTTCTCTAAGGCTGGGACTGACACCCACCACTACCATTCATAGGTCACTGGACAGCGTTAAAAAACTAATGACTTTTTGGTCCCTGACGGTCCAAATCAAAGCTGAGCCTGGTGACCTAGAGGTGAAAGCCACCATACACCAATTACTTTCTTCTGGCCCATCCAAGTGTGTTCCCTGCAGTCGTGATCTCTGACATCTGTCAAGCAACAAAGAAGTATCATTACCCAAAACACTGCTTTCTCTATCCCCTGGTAAAAGTGCTGCTTTTCTGAAAGTACATCCACAGACCCTTTTCCTTTAACAAAATATTTCTGCAGTCCAGTCACATTATTTCCAGGATCTTTTACTTGCAACTCCAATCGTGCGTTCTACAGATGATTCATAAGGAAGAAAACTGCATATTTATTCAGCCAGCTAGTGGCTGGAGGGCAGGGGGTTTAGGCAAGCAGGGAATTTTGTGTGGAAATCAATTCTTTGTGGAAGTCAGTATATTACGAATGTCCGTGCAACCAAAATTCCAGAGAGAAATTACCTCCCAGAGCATGCCAAATACCTGGAGGTATGCATTGCAAGTCAGTAAAATAAAGTGGTTGACGTTTTAAGTGTCTCTTAACCGTACAACACTGCCAATGTAAATATTTCATGAATTCCTTTTAGGTAGCTGAGGCTCAAACTGTTGACCTTAAAGATGACATTAAAGCTCTGGACAGTGTGCCCAGCACTGCTCCCCCAGTTTCAGAACCTGGCAGGATGCAAGGAGTAGCCCCAATGGGCTCACTTCAACATGCGCTCGTCTTGCAGAAGGCTTTAGAAAAGCTCTCGGTAGGGATGAAATGGTGAGAAACAATCAATGCCAAACAGATGCAGCCTCACCTCTTTGGTACTGTGGAGAATGGCTGGGTTGGGTGATACTAGGAAACAAATTCATTTCTCAACAGCATGACCATCAGTCACTGCTCTGACATGGAAACACAGGCTGATCTCCACCCTGTTCATTTATTTAAGCTGTTTCCCAGTCCTCAACACCATGGCAAGAAAGGAAAGGGAGGGTTCTTGTTGAATTTCTCAAACCCAGTCTGTACGTTGTTATGCGTAAACACTGCATGCTGGCTCTGGGATTAAAGGGTATTGAATGTTTATGAATAGGAAGTTACTACAGAAAGTCCAAGACCCACTGGGCCCAAGAGAACCAAGAGAAGAAGATAAAAAAACTACCTTTTTTTTTTTTCCTGCACATAAAAATAAAAACAGGGGCATAGGGCATGCACTTCAGTGACAAAAGAGCCAATATCAAAGAGAGGCATCTTCAGTTCCTTATGCTGATAGTATTTAAAAGGCAAGAAACCAGCTTGCTAATGAAATTGTCTTATGACACTAAAAAATGATAATCACGGTTTTCATAACTTATTAAAAAAATATTTACCTTTTAATAACTGTTTTGCACTTATACTGTATAAATATAAAATTTTACCTAACACCTGATTCACAAATGTACTTAAGAGATTAAGTCAAACGGAAACCAGTGGGAATTGGTTCTCTGACTGTCTTTGTAGGCTCAGGTTTGAGTGACTGCTGTGTCCCAATTTCAACACCGTTTAGGAGACCACTGATTTTCAAGGAAATTTAAGCTCTTCAGTCACCGATGCAAGTTTAGGCTCCCAAGTAAATTGAGTAGTTATGAAAATATTATTGCAGGACTCACTGTGGAAGGCTTAACCCATGTAACGCAGTATGAACCTAGAGCTCTCTGTCTATCTTAGCTGTAATCCTTGCTTTAAAGATTGCAGTCTGTAAGTTTAAAACCAGTAATTGAAAGATGGCAACCTGAAAACAAAAAAAACAAACACACACAAAAACCGACAACCACCTAACATTAAAATCTAGAGGGAGAAGTTTCTATTCCATGTCACGGTCTGGAAATCAGGCAGTGGGAAGATGAGTCTTCCCCATTACACTCTTCAAATCTCCCTATTAAATTAAGATTATAAATACCTAAAAAGCAATACCCAGTCTTGAGCCACTTGATCAGATAAAAGCTGCTGAAATTCTGTAACATCACGATGCTGGTGCTGGACTAGCATCCCTTGCATTTAGTGATTATTACCGTACTAAGAAAAAGTCCACAGGAGACAGGGGTTTTGCTTGGAAAAAGTGTAACTTTTTCTCTTAATATCCATGTCCTTTCATGTGTTCTGCTGAACACTGCTTGGTACTGTAGAACAGTAAGTGCAGTTAATAATAATTTTAAGCTAGGCAACTTCTTCGTATTGTCCTTTTGCTGCTGCAACGCCTCAGATAGCCCACTCCAAGAGAGCGCCAACAAATCAGCAACCCTTCAAGGGCCATCGGCTACTCTGCCTTGAGTAACACATCTTTGGAGAGCAGACTTAACCCTGATGTTTGGGTACACAGCCACAGAGGCAGCTTTGGGCGTATCTACAAAGGCATGTGAACCACGAGAGCTCAACAAATGTGCTGAAAACCGACCACAGTCGGTTCACACGTACCTGTAGAGATAATTGCAGCAAACCTTTTCAAAAGCTGAGCCACTGGCGATTGAGCAGACAGCTCCAGGGTAAGTCAGTGCATGATAGTACAAAACTCTGTGTTTAGTGGAGCTGAAATTCATGTGCTTCTGCCTAGTTGTTGTATTTTTTAACCATATTTGATGGTCTTCAAAATGATAAATATGCCCTTGAGGGAAACGCTGAAAAGTCCTCTCCTTCTTCCTAAGTACTACTGTCTTCATACTAACACAGGAAATGTCTTGGTCTCTTTTTCACCTTCAAATTTAGGTGTTCTCTTGGAACAGAAGCCCAGGGAGTGATTAGATCTTCATATACACTTAATAATTGGTTTGGTTGGTTAGCAATAGAAAAGGTCAGGATCTTTTTTTAATGAAAATGTGCATTTATCACAACTGAAACTGTGGTAAGAAAGGTCAGTTTCAATGAAATTCCAGACTTAAAATAGTTGAGAAGGAAAAATGGTTTGAAATCACTTAATTGCTGAAAATCATATTTTTTTTCCATGAAACACTTAAAAGTGACTCTTTATTCCGAAAGTGACTTAAATAAGACAAAAAAAAGTCTGAATTAAAAGAAAGCATCAGAGAATTAGTCAATAAAAAGATATTTACTGAGCTCAACTTTTTGATGTGAGGGTTGTTAGTCTGTTAGCTTTTTAAGAGTTCAATGTTTTATTACTGTTTAGAATAGAGAACCTTGGTTCTTTTAAAATCAATGTCATTTTCATAGGACAGGGAATGCATTGCCCTTCTCACCCTGGAATGCAAATCTTGGACTGTACATAAGTTGTCACTTTAAATCCAGACAGAGGTGCATTTGGTATTGCTGAATTTTAGTGTGTCTGTCATGAGTCCATTAAAATAAAATTGAGGGGTTTTTTTTATAATGGTAGAAGTAGGAAAAATCGAGAGAATCTGAGCCTAAACTTTTTTCCAGTTTTTATGAATCCATGAGTATTAAGAAATAAAACAACTTTATACTGTATCCCAGGATGAAGAATCCGACTGCAAATATTTTGTTCCACTCAAGTGCAGTAAAATTTTCAGTAGCAATAAATTTAGCCATGAATGTAACTTATTTTGCAATATGCACTTGTTTTAATATCCCATCACAAGCACAGTTCCTGACAGCTCAGCCAAGAAGCAAATGTTGTGTATATGATCTCCCAGATAAATGAAGCTCTGCATCTTTCTGATCCCTTTGATTAGAAAAGTTATGTTTTATACCTGAACTTCTTACCTTGATGTGGTTGGCAGGAGCCTTGACATAGATCCCTGCTGGTGACAGCGTCTCAATGTTGGATAAACCATCTGTTCCAGAAAGGCCAGTCACTATGTTGTTACTGACTCTGTTCCCCTCTTCCAGTCCCTCTCCTTTAAAAAAAAAAAAAAGAAAGAAAAAAAAAAGAACAAAAAAAGAAGAAAAAAAGAAGAAATGAAAAAAATAAAAAAGAAGGAAAAAAACCCCACAAATGTACATATATAGCTGGAAACCCTCTATTATGCGAGTCACAGAACTTGCTGGCTTTTGCCCTCCCTGCTTTGCTGTCATGGCCCACCTGGGAATTAGCTGTCCCTGCTAACTGTCCTTAGGTGAATCACTGTTTGAAAAGCACTCAGAAATCTGTGTTTAACACATGGCAGAAGACGGCTATGAGACAGTCAAAGACTGCCATGACTGCTCAACACAGTGGTGCATAGCACAGAAAGGGTAAAAGTGTCGTGGTTTAGCCCCAGCCAGCAGCTCAGCACCACGCAGCCGCTCGCTCACTGCCCTGCCCCGGTGGGATGGGGGAGAGAATGGGAGGAGGAAGAGTGAGAAACACTCCTGGGTTGAGATCACAACAGTTTAGTAATTGAAATAAAATAAAGTAAAATAATAAT